ATAACAAAATGCTGTTCTGAAAGTCGGATGTGACATTTATTGATAAAAAAATTAATTTTTATAACAAAATACCATTCCAAAAGTTAGAAGCAGCATTTATTATTAAAAAATTAATGTTTAATAATCCCAAAAGTTAGATGTGGTATTTATTAATAAAAAAAATAATTTTTATTAATTTTTTATATTAAAATGCCGCCCTGAAAGTCGAACATGGCATTTATTATTAAAAATGGAATTTTTAATAATTTTTAATATTTAAATGCCATTCCAAAAGTTAGATGCAGCATTTATTATTAAAAAAATTAACTTTTTATTAATTTTTAATAACAAAATACCATCCTGAAAGTTGTATGCAACATTCATTATTAAAAAATTAATTTTAATAAAAAATGTCACCCTGAAAGTTAAATGCGTCATTTATTAATAAAAAAATTAATTTTTATTAATTTTTTATATTAAAATATCACCCTAAAAGTCGAAGGCGGCATGTATTAATAAAAAATTAATTTTTTATTAATTTTTATAACAAAATGTCATCCCAAAAGTCGGATGCAGCATTTATTATTAAAAAAATTAATTTTTAATAATTTTTTATTAATTTTTAATAATAAAATGCCATCCCAAAAGTCAGACGCAATATTTATTATTAAAAAAATTAATTTTTAATAATAAAATGCAAATCTGAACATCAGAAGCAGATTTTGTTAAAAAAACAACAATTTTGTTATTTTTAACATTAAAACGTTATTCCGAATGGCGGAGGCAGATTTTTGTTAAAAATTTTTTTTGATCTGTCAGATACAGATACAGATTCAGATACAGATTCGGATTCAAATTTGTCAGATTCAGATACAAATTCAGATTCAGATTTGTTAGATTCAAATCGAATTAAATTTGGATTTTTCAGATTTGAATCGAATCAGATTTTACCAAATCTGATCTGATCTGATTTGTGTGGAATACTAGTACAATTTGTCTTATTATCTTGAAAGTCAAAGGTAGCTTTTATTATTAAAAAAATAAGAAAAACTTATTTTTTTAATAGTGCAATCCGTTTGAAAGTTGGAAGCAGCTTTTATTATTAAAAAAAATAATTTTTTTTAATAGTGTAATCTATCCTAAAAGCCAGAAGTGGCTTTTATTATTAAAAAAATATGAAAAACTTATTTTTTTAATAGTGCAATCTGCTTTGAAAGTCAGATATAGCTTTTATTATTAAAAAAATAAGAAAATCTTACTTTAAAGTTGGAGTCAGCTTTTAAAAAATAAGTTTTTCTTTTTTAATAGTATTATCTATCTCAAAAGTCAGAAACAGCTTTTATTATTAAAAAAATAAGAAAATCTTATTTTTTTAATAGTATAATCCGCCTTAAAATCAGATACAATATTTATTATTAAAAAATAAGAAATCTTGTAATCAATCCAAAAGTTAGAAGCGGCTTTTATTATTAAAAAAATAAAAAATCTTATTTTTTTAATAGTGTAATTTGTCTCAAAAGTTGGAATTTGGTTTTTGTTTTTAAAAAAATAAGAATTCTTATTTTATTAATATTGTAATTTGTTTCAAAAGTCAGAAACAGCATTTATTATTTAAAAATAAGAAAAACTTAAGAAACTAATTAAACTTATAGTTATTATAATTAACTGACCTTAAGTCAAATTTATTATCAATACAACTGTTTAAAACATATCAGATTTAGCGTTATCATAAATGAGAAGCTAGTTCCACAATTTTGTAAGAAGTAATTAGGATAAGTATGTTACAGTAAGTAAAACTTTATATACTCCAATATATTTCTAAAATATTTAATTATTTTTTTCAATAGATACAAAAAAATATGTTTAGCAGACTAGCAAAAAAATCAGAACAAAAAAAATTTGAATATATATCTAAAAGTGAAGCCTTTTACATAATTTATTACAGTTTATAAATATTAAAAGAAGGTATCATTTTCAATGGTATGTATTCAGATATAATATTAAGTCTTCTACAGAATTATATAAAAATACAATAGATACAAAAAAGAAATGATAGCAAACTTATTAAATAAATCATAAAAGAAGTATATTTGAATATACATCTAAAAGTAAAGTTTTTTTTAGAATTTTTATATAAAATAATGAATGAAGACTTTATTTTTTAAGATATGTATTCGGGTATAGGTACAGTATTTTTATTAGCACAAATCTGACAATATAAATTAGGAAATATGTATACGCAGGTTGATAAAAAATTATGGATAAATATATTAATAGTATTTAAGGTAGTCTTCTGATGTAATCATTATATAAAATATTAGCAGAAAATTACTCTAATACTAGTATATAATCAAGTATGATATGTTATTTAAAATAAATAATATTAGGAATTGAAAACATAATAAAATTCAAATAATTTCAGCTAACATTATAATATATAATTTTTGTTAGATTTACGTTAAATATTATTTGATACTGAGCCTTCTGAGATTACTATCATATGATTTTTCCTAATAATATACAGTAAAATCTCTCTAAATGAATTCTTCCTAAATATACATATATATATTTTTTCGATAAATACATATTCTACATAACCCCAAATATATAAAAATCATACAAAATTTCTCTCTTTAAATGCACATCCTTTTTAAATACACATTTTTTGTTTTTAATTTTTCACTATAGTTAGAGTTGGTAAAAATCCTAATTGGTCCTAATTGGTCCTGATTAATTTTAAAAAAATTATTAGTTTTAAAGATTAAATTTTTTTAAATATTATCATTATATTCAATTTTTTAATTAAAGTTACTTATTAAAATAAGTTTAAATTTCTTTTTAAAATTTAAAATATTTTTAAAATTATTTTTAAACCAATTAGGATTTATTAGGACTTTTACCAACCCTAACTATAGTTCTAAGAGAATGTATTTAGAGAAATTTCATTATACATAAAGTGTGTTATATGATTTTTATAACAGTATATGCGTAAATATCACTTAATATTAAGCCTTTTGAAATTACTATAATATAATTCTCCTAATAATATATATAAAGTATATTATATGTTTATTTTCTGTGATTTTTCTTATAATGCAATAAATTAACAATCATTTCAGCCAGCACTATTTCATAATTTAGGTCTGATTTTTGACACAATAACTTAGTATTCAAGCTGATATAAAAGTGATCTAGAACTGGCGAATAAATAGAACTATTCTAGCTTCTTACCAGTTTTTTACTAGTTTCATAATATTAAACTAGATTTTTCAAATTATGTGTCCTAAAAATCAGCTAGAATTATATCATAAAGCTGATCAAATTAACTAAATGAAGTTCTATGATTTGACTGTGCTACTTGAGTATAACACAATTTTTGCAATCAATGCTAACATAATATTTTGGTCACAAAAAAGATCACAAAGTATTGAAAACAAGTAGATAATTAAAAGGCAATAAAAAGATCATAGAGCAATAAAGTAAGTTGATAACTATAAGATAATAAAAAGGTCACAGAGTATTAAAAATAGTAACTAGGTAGTATTATATTTATAACTAGATAGCAATTTAGTGTAACTAGATAGTTTCTTATAAGAGTGCTATTTATTTTATTATAAATTGTAATATTCATAGGTTAAAACTAATTTCAATATAATTGCAATATTAGAGGTTACAATATATTAATTATTGTTCCTATTTTTACTTATAATCTTATATGGATTTTAATGTAATATTATGTAATATATATATGATTTGTAATTCTACATAGATTTCTCTATAATATTTCACAATCTTACTCATAAACTCACATAATTTATAATATAATACTTTGAAATGTTACAAAATTTATAAATTCACAGAATATTATATTACATTTAAATTTCAGAAGTTAGCAACTTCTATATTAAGTAAAAGATTATTTATTAATGCTAAAAATCACAATATATCAATCTTTATCTATATGATTTTTTATTTACATTTATTAATATATATTAAAAGTATTTTTTAAATTATTAATTTTACTAAAATTATAAAAAAATAAAATGATAATATCTATTGATATTCTGCTAAAAAATGTTAGTTATTTTATATAATTATAAAACAATATTAAAATTAATATTTTGTTAAGTATATAGGCATTTTATAATAATAATACCTTTATTATTTTATTGAAATAACTCTTTATTAATATAATTATGTTTATAAAGTGATTCTTCTATTAAAACAATTTATCTATTATTCTTTTAAAGCAAATTTACTATCATTTTAGTATTGTCTTTATAATAATTTGACTTGAATTAAGTTAAATTAGATAAATTGAAATATAATTTGTTATTAAAATTTTTCATACAATTCAACTCAACTCATTTTTTTTTTGACTTGGAATATATAATAATTTGTAATAAAATATTTTCATTTTTACTAATAATATTTATTAATATTCTATATAATTTATTTATTTGATTCAAAGTTTTTTATTTTTAAATTAGTTCGTTCGTAAGATTTTTATATAAAATAAATCATATACACATACGTATTCGAATTTTAAGATATATTATACAAGATAAAGTTAATCCTTTAATAAAGTAATTTATTGTATACAGAAAGAAATACAAAAACAAAAGAACAGAATATTAAATACAAAAGGCTAAAATATTTTCAAAAGGATTATTTTTTTTAGAGAAGCAACTAAAAAATTTTTGTTTAAAAAAATAAAATTTCTATACAACGAAAATACAAAAAGAAATGCTAATATAACAAAGAACTAAAAGTAATACAAAAAAAAGTTAATACAAAAATACAAGAATAAACAGTTAAATAAAGAAACAAAAGTAAAAAAAGATATAATAATAATTAAATTTCTACAAAAAAAAATAAAAAATGATCATGATATATAAATAGTGTATAATAAATAAAATGCTGTAATATATAAATGCCATGAAATATATAAGATAAAAATCCCAACCCGGTAAATAAATAGTAATACAAAATAAATATATAAATATAGGGAAAACAAAATTCTATGTCATTGATGACAAAGGTGATGTGATGTTAATATTATTATTTTCATAATCAACTTTTTCTTTAAAGATTACGTTGATCGCATTAGCTTCTACTGAATTACTTCTGACCATACCTTTCCCTTTCCCCTCAAATTCCATTATATTCGCCAAAGAATTTTTCCTACTTATATTTTTATTTTTTGCCTCTTTATCATGACGTATGAAATCATTATGAAGATTACTATAAGATGATGATCTTGATTTGATCATATGAGGGTGATTTTCACTAACATCTTGAAGATCTAATACTTTTTCACCATCACCGAGAGTTTCTTCGATCATGACAAAAGTTAATCCAGAACCAGATAATTGTTGAAGATTGTTTCCTAACAAATTATTATTGTTTAAGCCCGATATCACGGACAAATATGTAGTATTAGAATTAGATATGCCACTTGTACTTTTCATCATTTGTGAACGAATTCTTGAAGCGGCTAATTCATCAGCATAATCAGGATCTAAATCATCATCATCTGAAAATTCAATAGATTTTGGAGATGAAGGTAATGAAGGTGATATTTTATCCTGAGATTTAATTACTTTATCTCCTTTTAAAAACGATGACGATGTTATTTTTGACGTAGATGATGATGATGGAGTTTGATTAGGTATAGGAGGTAAAGGAACATTGGGAGGACGTGTTGGAGGCGGCAAAGTGATATAGGGTAAATGAATTGACATAGTTTTAAATCTTGAAGGATTTGAAGAATACACCATCGAAGAATGATTTCTTGAAGGAGGAGGAGATTTTGATCTTGCGGGTAACTTTGGATTTGAAGGTAAATTAACAGGTAACGTCATTGTCCTTCCGTGAGGTGAAGGTCTTCCTTGTGATGATGAAGTTACCGTATTAACGTTCTCTGAAGGTAAATTTTCCGCACCAGAACTAATTCCCTTTCCTCCAATTCGTTTATCCGCACCCGGTCTTCTTGGCGGTGGCACAGGAGGAGGTATTAGAGATAATATCAAATGTGTGGATGGCGGAGGAGGTATTACATGCTTATTATTTTTATATGAAGGAATTGGAGAAGTTGCACGTGAAACAGGAGTTATCGTATTTATTGGACGAGGAGGTGGTTGAGGTAAAGGAATATTTGGAGGAGGACTACGAGTTGTACGAAGATCAGGATCAATTGAAGAAACTCGATCACTATTCCTTACAGGTTTCGGACCTTCCGGGAGTTTAGGTGGATTTGGTAAATGAGATAATTTAACGGATTTAGAAGGTATTGTTTGATCATTGCTTGGAGGAGTACGAGTCGAACGCGGTGGAGGTGGTAAGGAAGTAATGTTAACATAAGGATTTAACATTGAAGTAGGAGACGCAGTCCTTACACCCCAAGATGGCATCATAATTGGAATACTTTCTCTATGACTATCTAGAGAAGAATTACGAGAAGACCTTTTAGGTGAATAATTTACAGAGGATTGTTGTTGTTGCTTTTGTACCAGAGAAATATTGACTGATAAAGAACCATCAAAAGAACCTGATCTTTTCCTGTGTCCTGAGGGTGAAATATTATTAATTGAATATGTGCTAGATGTTGAACCTTTATGTTGATGATTTGAAAGTTTTGCTTCATTGCCAAGCCTTGCTCTTGGGGGCGATAATGTTTCAACAGGAGATGAAGGACGTGGATGAATTTCCGAATAATAATCGTGATTAATTGAACTATTTGATAATTCTTCAACATCAGAAGGAACGTTATGACGACTATGAGAAGAAATTGGTGATATGAATGATACGGTTGGTGAAGGAGGACAAGAAGCAAGAGAAGGAGCGGATTTTGGACGAGGAGGGGGAGGTAAAGAAGTCATAAAAGAACGTGATGTCTGATTAATTAAAAATGATGGTTTAGGGGTTGATAATTGAGAAGAACCAAATACTTTAGTAGGGGAGGAAACAGTTCTCATATGTAATTTAATATCATATTCATCAACGTCATCATCAGCGTAATCTTCGTCAACATCGTCTTCATCATCAATTAATGATTTGTTCACATGTGAAACAGAAGGTAATTCAGTCGAATTTGACCTACAATTTACCGCAATAGATTTTAATTCCGTTAACCAACATTTCATATCTTCAACATTATCAGCTTGTATAAACCAAGGTTTTTGATGGGGTTTGCCAACTTGCAATACCCAACTTTTACCATTAAAAGCCTCACTAACACAAACGACACTATCAGCGTTGAATTCAAATTGGTCTAATAATAGGGAAGTACGTTCAGACGATTTAAAACAATACAGGATACTTTTGGATAATATAAAATATCTTCTTTTCCATGATTTTGATAATTTAAAACTTGTATTTGTATATTTTGATAAAATCCCTCTATATGTTATTATACTTTCTCTTATACTAGCTACCGTTAACGGACATCCTATATTCCCTCCACCTATATTTGATTTCACATTATCACCTTTAAACTCGGATACCAAACACATTGAAGTCGCCCTTCTTAATTCACCATCATTCAATCCTAATAATTTACTCGCCTTACTCGATCTATCTAAAATTGGTATATTATCATCGTCATATCCAGTTATCTTGTTGGTCCTTGCATTATTTAAAGTAGGAAGTACGACTTTTTCTTCCGATGATGAAGATGAAGGTCTAAATCCGTAAACTTTTCTCGTCGGCTTATTATTATTTCTATTGTTATTGTTATTATTATTATTATTATTGTTATCTGGTTTATCTAATAAAATTTTTGCTTCAGAAGCCGTTAAACCCAAAATTTTACCAGCCTTAGATAAACTTTCAGGAGAACTTGATAATCTGGGAGAGATCATATTATTTTTATCGGGAAGAGCGACAGACATTGTTGATTTAGAATGACGTCTCCTAATTGACAAGGAAGAAAAACCCGAACGGCTTAATATACGTTCAGCTTTTGAAGTAGAGCCCGCAATAGTAACTCTATGATTATGATTTGAGAGTTCATCGTCAGGGTCTGATAAAGAACCAGAACCTCCCCGAGAATTACGAGAAGATGATGAAGAACGAAGCGATCCTGATGATAATACACTAAATATTGATCGACTAGAATTTTTTCTTTTAAAAGAATGTTTTCTTTTTACAAATTCAGTTGTTGTGGAATTATTAAAGTTACTTATTAATGAAGGTGAATCTGGTTCATTATTCGTACCACCTGACGTTGAAGATTCTGTATCATTAAACATACAATTTGATTCCGGTATTTCAGAATTCACATCTACATGAACCGAGGAAGATAATTTTAATTCATCTTTTTTATTTTGTTTCTGCTTCTTAAATAAAGTATCATTATTATTATTGTTATTATTATTACTATGATTATTATTATTATTACTATTAAGTTGATCATATATAATATTATGATGATTATTATGATATGAATCATCTTCTTCAGTTATTATACCAAGAGACTTTTTGTTATCATTTGTTAACTTTGTCATTGTATCATCTAATTCATCCAATAATTGACTTACTCTAGGCGATATTTTTGTGCTTTCAGAAGTAAAAGTATTAGTATTAGATTGAAAAGAAGTGAATAATTCACTTGGAGAATTATCGATTTCATCATCTTTTTCATCCAATGAACTACTAACACTTGAACCTATACCTGACTCTTTTGATAATCGATCCGCTAAATACGTTTGAAGGGAAGAAAAAAAAGTGGAGGAGAGGAAGATAAGAGGTAGGGAAACAAAGCAAAAAAAAGGTTAATAACGAAATAGTAGGGTAACTCATAAAATGAAAGAATGAATATATGACGTACTATTATTTCCGGATGTATTTGTAGATATGTTATTATTAACAGAAGCTTTTTTATTTCTAGATAGGACATTTTCGGGTGTAATACCTTCAAGTTTGGCAGCTGTTTTTACTCTTTCAGTAGTTATAGCAGCTGCTTCTTCCTCCGCTGTCAAAAAAGTGACTGTTGACATATCCCTATCTGTTGTGGAAGTTTCGACATTATCAATTTCATCCTTCTTTCCTACATTCACTTTAATGTTTGAAGGATGTTTTGTAAGCATTCTGTGGTGATAAAAGATACCAGGGTGCCATACAACAGCACCCTATAGACAAAGTGAAAAGGAAATGATAGAGAAATGAAGGATATGTAATAGTTATATGGAGGAGATCGCTGAGTTATATTGGAGAATTTTTTTTTTCTTTTTTTTTTTGTTAAAAAGAAAAAAAAAATATCTAATTTCGAACAGTAAAAATTTTTTTTTACTATATGCTAGTGTCTTAATATAATACATGCGGGTTCCTTTTATATAAAACTAGGTAACGGATTCGGAAACCGCTGTGCATAAGTAACGGAAAGTATGTCGTAACACACAATGTTGATGAAAAGTTGAATTTTTAATATTGATTTTTATTTGTATAAGGTAAATATCTTTGAAGGAAAAAGCGGTCCTTTAAAAAGGAATATATTGTATAATGTTTAATTTCATTTATTTCATAAAAGGGAAAAGGTATAATTCATTTATTTTATTTTTTTAAAATAATTGACAGAAAAGATAAACATTTATATTTCTTGAGAGAGGAGGAATTTTAAAATCTATTAGCATCTGATCGATACCTTTTTTTTTGAATCGAGAAAACAAAAGGTGGTTTAATTGTTTGCTTCTTTCATTATGATGATGATGAAAGTAATTCAAAAAAATGTTTGATTATTGTACCGTCTTTGTTAAATCAATATGTATTTAGAACCTTACTTTTATTTTTTTTCCTTTTATTTATCAAAGATTTATAATTAATTAATTTCTACATATAGTACTCTAGCAAATGATTAACATATGAATTATTCAAGAAATTTAATGAAACGAATGTCTAGAAATTTTAAGAATAAAAATATATAAGGATGATTTCGTTAAATAATGTCGCGAAGAATAAAATTATTGAATGAATGTTGGATGGATGAATGGAAAGTTGCTTGATGTTTGTTCGCTAAAATATCACATTTATTCACATATATTATTTTTGTCAGAAAAAAAAAAACGCGACAAATTCGAATGAATACAAAAAAAAAATTTTTTTATGCTTAGTTTAAAAAATAATTAGTTTTTTTTTTTGCCACATGTTTTACTTTTTATTCGAATAGATGAAAATATTTGTGTGACCACAAATTTTGGTATAATAAACTTTGATATATTAAAAAAAATTAATGTAAATACGAAATAATACTAATCGGAGTTAAACTACAGAATAATATATTGATCTCACGTTATGTATTAGACCTTTTTTGCTCAAAGTATTCCCCATAAAAATAATTCTAACTATAAAAAAAAGACTTACCGATCCGAGCACAAATTGTAACGAAAGGGACCAATCTCGTATTGTCTCAATTTTTGAGCGGGCATCCCATTTGGTGGAACGATGTTCAAATTTATAAATCAAGTAATTGAGTAGTTAAATCACCAAAACATTAAAAAATAAATGTACAACATATATTGTTATTGTTTATGTTTGAAACAAGTTTTTTTTTTTTTTGATAATGCAACATTATTCTTTGCTGAACTTCGAACATGGGGAATTTATTAATTAAAATTAATTGATCTTCGGTAATAATGCAATTACTTTTTGTTTACACTTTTGCGTTTTATAATTGTTTTATAATTGAGAATTCTTTTCGTCACAATCGTAATCGTTCTTATTTTTGATCGTCATTAAAAGTTCGCATACTTTTTCGACTATCTTATTATAATCGTATAAATCTTGGCAATCTCACGTTTCAATTATCATACCAAATAAAATTTGAAATGATATACAGCACAAAATTTTGATTTCGGATTTTTATACTTAAACAAGTCTAGATTATAAAAGCTTAGGGGAAAATGTCAGCGTTTAAAGTAATTTTCTGACTAAAGAATATTACATAAAATATTATCAAAAAAATCACAAAAAAATACTATTATTACCATTTTTCCGGATATTATACATCCTCAAAATGGTACAGAAATTATTTATTCTTTTTTTTTTTTTTTACAGATCATTATTTTAACTCCAAATATAGTTAAATGATTAAATATAAACGGTTTGTTCTCAAAAACAATTACGAAAAATTTTTTTATTTTAAACAGGGTATTATGAGAATTATCATAAATTTTTAATATCTGATAAATTAATCAAATCAACCTTATCCAATACTAACATCCCATCAAAACTAATGTAACACCAAATTCATTAGATACATTGATTATACAAACAGTATGTTTGCAAATCATGAATGATCTTTCTTTTCTTGTAAAGTGACCAACCTTTTTTGTCAATGGATGAGATTTCTTGAACAAGAATTCATGCATCATTTTATAAATTTATGTCTATTGCGGATAAGAAATTAACACGGACCGCAATTTTTTTTTTCTTATGATTTTCATAAATTACAAATATAGTAAATATAGTGTGCTAAACATTTTAAATATGAATGTTTTGTATTTGGTTATGATTAATTTCAATGGGATTCATTTTTTTTGCTTTTTGTATGCTTGTCTTTGCTGCGATGTTTTTCTTTCTTATGTTTCTTTCTCTTTTCTTCTTTTTTCACTTTCTTTGCTTTTCTCTTATCTTCGGACTGTAGCAATGTTGATGCTCTCTTCTTATTATCCCGGTGTGAGATTGAGCTATCATCTTGAAGTAAAGTATCCTCTGAAACCATCTCACTAATTGATAATCTTCCCGAACTTCATAAAGGATTATTAGTAAATTTTAAATGAAAATCATCTTGAAATGTACAACTCGATTGTTAGTTATTTCTTCACCTAAATCCTTTAGTAACTTCCTGAGTTGCTTCCTTAAGGCTATCCTCCTCCTCATCTTGCTGCCTTTTTAAAACATTACTGAGCTCCTGTTGAGTTACATTTCCTGTGACTACCCTTCTTTTACCGCCACCTCTTTTAAAATATTAAAATATTAATATAGATGTTAAAAAATTTCAACCTTTTTTTAATCTGAAATGATTTCCTTACAATAATTCAGCCATAACATCTGCCTCGGCGTTTTTGATTGCCCTGATTTCCTCATTGCGTGAATCATCATGCTTTCCATCTTTAGCGTACCATGTAAGATCCTTGCCTTGTTGCCACCTTCCAACAGGTGCATGTAAAGAATGTCCAAGATAGTTTTCTCTATGCTTATCAGTCTTTACATCCCTTATTTTTTATTTATTATTAAAGTAGTTAATAAACTTTGAATATATTAAAACTTATTAAAAAAATTTTTTTTTTTGGAATACTTACTCCCCTGTAAATCAAAGAAAAATCATTAACCAGTTTATAAAATGAATAAAATTAAAAAATAAGGCAAATTCTTTACATACAATTGAATTGATCCTGATTTATTTATAAATGATCAAAAGTAAGATTTGTAAAATGTTATAGAAATAATCATATAGTCAATTAAGCAATTAAGAAATGTGAATACTTCTAATCTTTACTTACTCTTCCGCCTCGAACGCCACCACGTGGAGGATGATACATGGTTATGTTGAATAGCTAGTTGTTTTTAAAAAATTTAAATTAAAAGCGGACAAAAATTTGAATACTTGGACTAAATCACTTTAAATCGTTGATCATTGGTCACTCATCACTATTTTTAGATAATTTATTTATAATATATATGGAAAGAAAATCCGATTCTGTGATTTATTTAACGATCTTACTATATATATATATAAAGTGAATTTTTTTCGTCAAAGGATAAATAAGGAATTTAGTAAATTTATAATTTTTTAAAATTTCTATTGTATTTCTATATATTTAATTCCAATCATTAATATGATTTATTATTTATATTTTGTAAAAATTATCTTTACATTCTTTCTTTTTACACCAGCTTTTCTTTTTTTTAAATTAAAATAAGATTTTATATCTTCAACTTCCTGACCATTATTTTATTATTCAAGTAAATATAATTGCCATTATGAATAATATTACTTTCTGAATTTTATCATAATCAATTATAAGAAGTTCTTTACTTTTATCCTTTATATTAGAAATTTTATAACACTTGAATAAATGATGAATTAAAGAAGAATCTATAGCATCTTAAGTATTTTTGACTTATTGAATAACTAAATTAAGCAGATTTTTAAATATAACTATTTGAAGTAGTGATATCTACCTAAATCCTTTTTTAAATAAAAAGTAATTTTATTAAAAGAATTCTTCTTTTTAATATTTTTATATGAACAAATATATATTTTTAATATATTTTAATTCAAAAAATTTAAATAAAATTAAATATAATTTTGGCAATTAATTAAAATGGGTTTGTTATTTATAAAAAACTAGTTTTATTATTTAATTCACATATTAAGAAGGTAATTTCAGCAAGCATCACTAATAATAATAATTGTTATTATGGTTAATTTAACATATATAATTTTATTTTTTACATATTATTCTATTAATAATCAAAATGCTCAGCTAAAAAACATGCTCGTTAGATATATATTACTAGTTACTGCTATATGAAAGTAATAGAATTATGTTAAACACAGCACATTCATTAATATATATTTCAAGAAACCTAAAAATACAAATCATCATATATCTATATATTTATCATAAAAATAATTTATTGTCTTACCTATTTCACCAATTTTTTTCTGATATCAAAACTTCAAAGCTCTTTTATCTGCCTAAAAGTTTCTGAAGGAACTTGCTTTAAAACTCTTTCTAAAATATTTTAAAATTTTCCACCTTCTTTTTAAGAATACTTATTTATATACTTTACTTTACTTATATTAATAGCGTTATAAAAATTCTGAGGATATTAAAAGACTCATTTTTTAAAAAGAATTCTTTTATATTTAATAGAATAAAAGTTAAATATTAATATAAAGCTTATTAATTAGAGTAAAAATAATGTAAAAGTATAATAATTACACTATACTGCTATTTTAATATTTGTAATTTTGTTATTCACATTTCATTGGATTTGAGTTCATGTTAAAGTTTAAGCAGAAGAATATGCAATAACTTTGTCAAAAATTTTGTATTCGAGAATAAGAATATATAAAAATGTACCTTAAATTTTAATATTTAGAAAGATATTAGAGTTATGCATATATAGATTTTTTTTGTCTGTTTGCTTAATACTATGATCTAATAACGTTATATAATGTATTTTAGTTAGAATAAATAAACCTTATATAGTAGAAAATAGCCTGTCTTTTTGAAGCAAATATACATATTAATAAATGCTATTTTTCTTGAATATTGTAAGAGAAAAAATTCAAAATATTTTTTGAAAAATCAATTTCAGTAGATAGATTAAGTAGGTGTCACTATAATTATAGTGACACCTACTTAATCTATCTACTTACATCATAGTGATGCCTACTTATAGCTATATTGATACCTACTTTCTTATTTTTACGCGTCTGTGCCCTTTCTGTTGCTTTATTGTTGTCCATCTGTTTTCACTGGTCTGTGATTGTTTGGTTGCTTTATAGTTATTTGTTTGTTTTTATTGCTCTGTAGCCTTTTTATTACCTTGTAACTATCTGCTTGATTTTATTGCTCTATTCCCTTTTTATTATCAAGAAACTATTCATGTGTTTACAATGATTTGCGCTCTTTTTGTTTCTAAAGAACTATTCGCATGTTTTTCTGCTTCTGAGCCTGTTTGGTGGCCTGTTAAGTTATTGAGGATGCTTCTTTTTTGCGCATATTTGGTTGCCCTTTAAAATATTGAAATGGTGTAAAAAAAGAGGCGACGGTGATGCGGTATATTTTCTTATAATGATAATCAGCCATAAAAGTCTGATCTGCCGTAACGATCTTGGAACGCAATTATCTCGACATCTACCAGCCCAATTTTGATGAGGATTGAACTACTGGA